AACAATCGGTGAATAGCTTTGGTCCTTGCCAGAGCTCAAGGTTCACCAGCATTCCAGGCTCCTTGTTTACACTTTTCTGATAGTGAAGACAATGGGTAGCTTCCAACAGAATAGTATGATGATAACTCTGATGACAAAGTAACTAAGAGGAGAAGGAACACTAAAATTTTTCTTGTATATTGTTTGGTCTGTTAATGCTGAAAAATCTCTATTTTATGGCGTAATTACTCTTCTCCCCTATGCCACTCTAAAATTACTGTCCCTAGATAGCTCTGTAATTTAAACTTTTGTTGCTATGCCAAACTAAAGAAATATTTATTTTTCTCTTCATCCTGAGCATTCATTAGTTAATTTCTAAAATACCTATTTTTCAAATTCTTTACCTAATTAATTACCTCTTAGAAATAAATGTTTTATACTAGAAAGGACACTTTATATTAGCCTGGTGCCTAGCATTTGAGTAGTACTTGATATATATTAACTTTCTTCCTTCTTTCTTCTGGTAAATGCAAAGGCATAGTTAAGGACCAGTGGGCATGCTCATAGGAGAAGCATGTGGCGGGAATAATGATATTTCTCATTATGCTCAAGTAGAAGAAATAATGCCAGTTTTTGTACATAGCTGTAATTGACAAACAAGCCCATCAATTCTGCTAAGGCTTGATGAATACAGTTTATTCATTCCAAAACAAAAGGCTTAGATTTACAGCCCACAGTAATTTTAGGGAATTCTGACTTCTTACTCAATTTCTTTGTCTATAAATTATAGTTCTAACAAGTATTTGAATGTCAATTTGATGAACAAATTCTACACAGATGACAGGAATACACTGGAGATCAAGACTTCTTGGGGGAATAATAAACTATATTTATATTGAGTTTTAGGGTTTTTGCATTCTCCCATTTTTTGAGAGACTAAGACATTTCCTATCCTGTATTTCCACAAATTCTTTATTTCTAGAAAGGAAAACTCTATCTTTGTGTTTGATTGTTACTTCATCTAGAGAATGAGTGTTATCTCTCCGTTGCTGAAAATAAAAGAGATTTTGGGATTTACTGGAATGAATTGTAAATGTGTATAAATACACAACAGATTTATTGATTGGCCAACAGTGTCCCCAGATGTCTGGGTCTAGTGGTAATCTGCTATCTGTTTCCCTGTTAGACCTGCCTGCAGAAAGCCTTATGCACTGATTAACCCCAGTCTAATAGCATGGACACTGGGAAGACTCACTCTGGAATACTTTTTCAGGCCTTGTAATTCAGTGGAAAAAAATCCTTTTTTAAATTGTTTGTTTGTTTTTACATAGCTTTGGGCAACATCACAAATGGAGATTTAAAATGGAAAGTGGCCAGAAGTACAGAAACCAAACCATCTTTCTGATCGGCTGCATGATGCCACCATTGAAACACAAATAAGGTGAATATCCAAAGGTGATAAGAATATAAAGAAAGTTTTCAAGATGGACCCTTACTTTGAACAGCTTCTTTCATGTTTGCTATTAAGACTTAAATGATTTTTTTAAAAAATATGGCTGGGACTTTTCTTTTTGTGTAAAATTAAATATGTTGAAGAGTATTTACTTCATACAAGAATAATCTAGGGAAATAGGGTATCTTCTCTCAAATTATTATGAGATTGTCATATACTTTAACAAGGAGTAGAGTTGCTAACTACTCTCCCCTTAATAGACTGCTAGATTAAATACTATTCATTCCTTCTATATAATTCTTAAATACTTTTTTGCTGTTTTTGTCTTTATAGTTACTATTTCCTTTTGTTCTGATTACTTAAACTTAAAATTTTAAAATGGATTAAATGCATGTAAAAAATAAATGCATTTGTTTTCCATAAATCAGTTTCAGACAAGACTAAGGAAAATGTATAAATTACGTACTAAACAGACTTTGTTATTAAGTTGCATGAGAAGTGTTTTTCAGTTCTAAAAAGATCTTTATGAAGTATTTCTGCTGCCTTTGTTTTATATACTATAAAGGCCTGATGCACAAATTTGTGCACAGGTGGGGTCCTTCGGCGTGGCTGATTGGGGCTGGCTGGCTGAGGGGAGGGACCATGGGAGGTTGGAAGTGGGAGTGCACGGACCACCAGGGGGAAGATCCTGTATTGAGTGTCTGCCCCCTTGTGGTCAGTGTGCGTCATAGCTACTGGCTGGTCGTCCAGTCTTCTGGTCATAAGGGTCACTTAGGCTTTTATATATATAGATGAGTAGACACTTAACTATGAACATAAAAATTCAGAGACTTGTTTAATAATGTTTGCCATTCTCAATTGAGTATCTGATGGATGGATATTTAATAAGTTGAAATGTTAACATATTTTGGCACCCAATATTTTATCTGGCACAAAAATAATTTTTTTTGCGACTGCTATTAATTCTCTTTTCCTCCCATTTATTAGTTATAAAAATATGGTTATTGTTATTATTTTAGCATTTAGGATTAGATATTCAATGAAAAGTTCATAGACATTATAGATATTAAGCTTTGAATAGGGAATGTATGCCAGATAAGCTCAATAATGGACTATAAATATAGACTATGAACCTGATATCTTGAAGTAATATTTACTCCATGCATTAAATTACTTGAGGCTGTTTAGCTGTAAGTAATACTAGCTTAGCTAGACTTTTGTGTCCTGATGCTTGCATGCTTTTCAATGGATTTTTCTATCTTTATCTGTATTTCTTATTTTTCATTATTTGTTTCTCAGCATCAATTATTATTTTCTTCTTTTGTGACACACTGACATTTTTTAAAGAAACCACCCTTCCACAACTTTAGTCTGTACATTTTACCTAGGGATCCATCTTGCTATACTCTTAAGATTTTTTTCTTTTGACCACGGTGTTTCTTCCACATCTGTGCCCAGGGCCATAAGAGTTAAGAACAATTACTGATAATTATTTGGGGGTTGGGGAGGACTGGTAGGAGCAAAGTGTATACTTTTTCTTTTTGCTTTTATTGAGATTTTTAAAAATGTGATTTTTTTCCCCCCACCTAGAAGCAACAAATGAAGAGGAAGGAAAACTGAGTCCTGTTCTCTCTCTCCCTCTCTCTCTTTTTTGAGCTCCTTAAGTCCCTAAGACTGTGGTTCACAGGCAGGAGAGTCAAACCAGTAGGTTCTCTTTGCTTAAGTGAGTTTAACTTTTCTGTCACTTGCAATCAATAGAAAGTGATAGTCTACACCTGGTTAAGTTACTGGTGACTTTTTCTTATTTTGCCAGTGCCCTTGTTCCACCCCCCCGCCGCCCCCAGTCCTCCAAACACCCTATTCATCTGTTATTATTAATCAGCTTTGGGCTTAGAAATGAAATAAGCTAGTTTGTTAATATTTTATCCTACCATTAATCAATATGATCTGAGAAGGCTTGGCAGAATTTTATGACACGTGTATTTAACTTTTAAGAAACATTCTTTTTCGTTGTAACTTTTATTTTTTACAGAGTCTTGGCTATACTTTGGATAGCTCATGCTTCTTCTTCTTTTTTTAAAAAATCTTTGTTGTTGAAAGTCTTACATAGGTCCTCCTTTTTATCCCATTAACCTCTTCCAGCCCACTCCCTCCCCCCGCCCCCCAGGCCCTCACCACCCTATTGTCTGTATCCATGGGTTATGCATATACGCACACAAGTTCATTGGTTGATCTCTTGCCACCCACTCTCCCCTGCCTTCCCTCTGAGGTTCAACAGTCTGTTCATGCTTTTATGTCTCTGGGTCTTTTCTTGATCATCAGTTTATTTGGTTCATTAGATTCCACAGATGAGTGAGATCATATGATACTTATCTTTCTCTGAAAGGGTTATTTCACTCAGCATAATATTCTCCAGGTCCAAACATGCTGTTGCAAATGGTAGGAATTCTTTTTTTTTTAATTGTCACGTAGTATTCCATTGTATAAATGTACCATGGGTTTTTAATCCATTCATCTGCTGATGGGCACTTAGGATATTTCCATATCTTAGCTATTGTAAACTGTGCTGCTATGAACATAGGGGTGCATATATCCTTTCTGATTGGTGTTTCTGGTTTCTTGGGATATAGTCCTAGAAGTGGGATCACTGGGTCAAATGGGAGTTCCATTTTTATTTTTTTGAGGAAACTCCATACTGTTTTCCACAGTGATTGCACCAGTCAGCATTCCCACCAGCAGTGCACGAGGGTTCCCTTTTCTCCACGACCTCGCCAACACTTGTCATTTCTTGATTTGTTGATGATAGCCACTCTGACAGGTGTGAGGTGATATCACCTTGTTGTTTTGATTTGCATCTCTCAGATGGTTAGTGACTCTGAGCATTTTTTTCATATGTCTGTTGGCTTCCTGTATGTCCACTTTGTAGAAGTGTCTATTTAGGACCTTTGCTCATGTTTTAATTGAATTGTCTTCCTTTTGTGAAGTTGTATGAGTTCCCTATAAATTTTTGAGATTAAACCCTTATCTGAAATATCATTGGCAAATATGTTCTCCCATGTAGTGGACTCTCTTATTATTTTGTTGAGGTTTCTTTTGCAATGCAGAAGCTTTTCATTTTCATGTAGTCCCATCTGCTTATTTTCTCCTTAGTTTCCACTGTCCTAGATGTATCAGTAAACATATTGCTACAAGAGATGTCTGAGATTTTGGTGGCTATGGTCTCATGTATTACATTTAAGTATTTTATCCATTTTGAGTTTATTCTTGTGTATGGTGTAAGTTGGTGGTCTAGTTTCATTTTTTGCATGTACCTGTCTAATTTTCCCAAAACCGTTTATTGAAGAGACTGTTCCAATATATGCTCTTGCCTTGGATAGCTCATGCTTCTTGATAGTAACATATTAGTGTAGAATGTCTTTAGAGCCACAGAGCCTAGCAACACACCTCAGACTTATCACTTAGGAGTGCTATCTATTTGAAAAATATTACTTAATATTTCTTGACGTCAGTTCTCATTTTGCAGAGTGGGCATAATAATACTTCGTTTTGTTGAACAGAGAAGTAAAGGTAAAGCCCTTAATGACAAGACATGGCATGTGGCGGCTGCCTGTTCCATATGCCACCCCATCTTCAGTTAATTTCTGAGTGGATGGGATACTTTCAGCTATTCAAATGATGATTATTGACCCAGGTATTTGGTTTACATATTTTTTTTTATCTCCCTAAATATTTACTTCAGTATATTTCATTTTCTCCTTTTATCTTATAAGAAAGAAGGTAAAAAAAAGGGGGGGGGGTAAATGTAAGCAAATGTTACTCTTTCTTACCTAGTTTGGTATTAGACATGTCAAAAAAGGATAAAGCCTTTCATTTTAATAGGTTTTAAGAGTTTGGATTTTTGGTAGCATCTCCCTTTGTTCTCATGCTTCCAATGTTTAAAACGTGATTTTCCTGCAAATAATATTTTTTTCAGGAGAGCATTTTACTAGGTATTTAATTTTCTAGAATGATAGTGACTGAGGTAACTCCTGGTTTCTTATCCATTTAGACACACCTGTCATTTTAGAGGAGTTATAATGTGTTTCTGTAGCATGCTAATAGTTTAAATGTGCTTTAGACACATAAGCTTTTATTGTCAATCTTCCTGTTTTACAGTCTCTCCAATCCAATCCTGCCTTCTCCACATGGAAGACAGCTAAGAAAACTGCTCAGATTTCCTTTTTTCAACCTCCCTGCTGCCAGCTTTCCTCCTCCCTTCTATCCCATAGGAAGCCAAGAGGCTGCTTGAGTTTCCTCTGTGGGGTATGTGTCCCACCTGGCTTCTTCCTCTCCTGTTCGGCAACAGGTGGTTATTTTTGTACTGTCGGCACTCCCTACCCCCGGATGTCAGAATTCATTCCCAGTGGAAATGAAGACATTTGAGTTTCTTCCAGACTTCAATGGGTAAATTGCCAATTTCCATTTTCTGAAATAATCTTTTGATGGAAAAATCTTGTTCTTAAACCATTCCATTAGACCAAAAGGAAAAAAAAAAACACCCCACACACAACAACAACAGAAAAAAAGGATTTTGAAGGCTGAATCAGTGATTGATCTGTTTGCTGCCCCTTTTCTGATTCCTTTCAAAAGGTCTCCAAACATGTGGATCATATCATGTTAACCAATGAACAATGGAATCAGAATTCTGGCCCCCATATTCTAGCCAGGTTCATAATGGATTTCAGTGTTCTTCTTTACCAATATTTTGGGGTTTAAAAAATTAGAGCACCTAAGTATAGAACATAGGACTATATACTTAAAAAATATTCACCCAGGTAATAGTGAATATTAGTCAGGTTTGGGAGCCACTGGACAAACAGTATCTTAATAATAAAAAATAAAAATGTTTAATATGTTTTTTCTTTAAATAGGAAGAAACTGAGAAGGTAATGCTTCCTCCCAACTCCCCCCACTCGCTCCCAAAAAAGGGACACGAGAAGCTAAGGGACAATATGATCAAAATGATACGCAACCTTCATCAATATATTTACCAGGTATGAATTTTTCCCAGCAGCTTCAGGAATGTCCCAAGGCATTAGGGATGAGTTAATTAAATGTTTAAATATAGCAGGCTGATTTTTAAGTTGGTAATTTTGTATGGCCCATGAATGACATTATAAATTTCCAAATGGCCTTTGGCGGAAAAAAGGTTCCCCACCCCTGTTATATATCCTGTCACAGAATTCATATTGAGGTGTGTATCAGGAGGGATTGCAGCCAATTAAAATGAAATGTGTTGAGTGTTAAGACAGATATTGTACACACAGAAACACCAGTCCCAGCCTGAATGGTGGGGAGAAATTATATTTAGGCAAAGAGATTGCCAGCTTCTAATTTATTAATTAATCAATCAGTTCTTGCTTATCTTTCTTTCAAGGAACAAAATGCTGCATAGTTAGTTGTCTCTGCTATTCACACTTTGAACACAATAAGTGCTTTTACTAAAATTCTGTTCCCTTGATTATTTCACATTTAGTTGCATCAGGTAAAGAAAGAAAACCTCCAATGTCCACACTGATGGTGTCTCAGACCCTTCCTTCTCTTAACTTGCCTGTTAAAAAGATTGACCGTGATATTCATTTTTCTTGTTTAAACTGGGAATATTTTCTTCAAACAAAATTCTTTTTGGAGTAATAAATATTAGAGAGAAAAAAAAAGACAACCCATGTGTGTCTCTGTTAAGCAAGAGCATCTCAAAAATTCTCCACCCTCTCCCCTCTACTTTTCCTAACACTTCAGAACACCCCCCCCCCCCCGAACCTGCCTATGGATAAAGTGAGATAGGCCTATGGAGACACCAGCCTTTCTAGAAAGGAATTATGATGAAATGATTCAGAATTTGTTATACTTGATATTAAGAAGGATGGTCAGGATGACGTTGCAAGTCATTCCCAATGGTAAGTTTATAGGTAAATGATGCTTTATTGAGATCTGAACACTTTTTATTCAGGACAGTTTTTCTTGTGATGTGTCTAGGCCATAAAGATAAAAAACTTGCTCATGCAACTGGAAAAACAATATAAAATGTTTCATAAAAATATGAAGAAAGGGTAAGGCGACATGGTCCTGCCAATCTTATTCTTGGTGAAGAACAACTAACTCTGTGTTTCCTCTGGGTTTTTTTTTTTTTTTTCAAGATTCAAAGTCTCTTTCCATATTTAGGGATTTGAAAAGGTCAGTATTCAGTAAGAGGGAAAAGATTTGGCTATATTTTATGGAACTCTTGGGAGACAGAGAGAGCAAGAAAGACATTTTCCAAGTGGCTGTACGGATGAGATATTATTGTGTGGTGCACATGCTTACAGCTGGTAGTAATCACTTCTCAATGTTATACAGTTATTTCCCAGTATCAAATGTGAACACATGTGACTGTTTCCCTTTAAGAGCACTTTTTATTCGTGTTCTTGAATATAGGTTATCATTGTAATCCTAACCCACTTTTATTAGGGTCTGTTTTTAATCAAATGAAAAGATTTTACTGGACAATATTTCTTGTGGGTAAAAAAAAAACCCATTGAAAAATTTATAGAAATTTCTTTGATAATTCATTTTGAAAACACGGCTTTGGTAATGTGTATCTTTAGAAGATGTTTATCACAAGTGCCATACATATCTGTTTACAGTAATGCAGAGTTAGTGGCTCAGGAAAGTAATTCTCTTGGGTAAGACTGTTATCTATCTTATATTAAAATAACCTTAATTAACTCCAAGGTAAAGGGTATTTTGGCCTCACTTTCACTTATTTTTAGAAAATGTAAAAGCGGTTCTTTTTTTTAAGTTGATTTTGATAGAGAGGAAGGGAGAGGGAGAGAGAGAAACATCGATATGAGAGCAGAACATCAATCAGCTGCCTCCTGCTTAGCCCCTACCAGGGATCAAGCATGGGAACTGAACTGGCAACCTCTAGGTGCACGAGATGACTCCCCACCAACTGAGCCACACCAGCCAGGGCGAAAAGCAGTTCTTTAAGATATACTTCAATATGATGTTATCATTACTATGGCTGAAAATAAATGGTCACCCCAGAACATATTTACTTTCTAATCCCTGGAATCTGTGATTATGACCTTATATCTTTATGTGGCAAAATATGTGATTAAATTAGAGATCTTGAGAGAGGCAGTCTGAATTATCTGGTAAACTCTAAATGCCTATACAAGTGTCCTTATAAGAAAGAGGCAGAGGAATGTGGGACAAAATACACAAAGGAGATGATGATACAAAGAGCAGAGAGAGATGCAGCCACAAGCCAAGGGATGCTGACAGCCACCAGAAGCTGAAAGAAACAGGAATGGGTTCTCTCCTAGAGCCTGTGGAGGAAGTGCAGCCCTGATTCCCAGAAATGACATTAACCTTGTAGGATTCATGATTAATTAATGTTAGGCACGTCCCTTACCTTCATGAAGTTTACAGAGCAGTGGAAGAGTAAAGAAGAAGATTGCAAAACAATGAGAAAATATCCACTATACATGAAGACTTTATTAATTGATCATCCTATCTAATAATAGACAAACATGATCATTAACTGTACCTCCGACACACTTCCCATTGGCTAATCAGGGTGATATGCAAATTAACTGCCAACCAAGATGGCGGTTAATTTGCATATCCTGTAATGATGGGAGGCAAAAGGGGAAGGATGGAACAACGGTGATCGGAACCCCAGGCAGCAGGCAAGAGCTGGGGGGCGGGCAAAATCGGCCATCAGAAAGCCGGCCTGGCCAGTGGCCGCATGATCTGCACAGCAATTGGGGCTAGCGGGAGCCTGGGCGCAGGCCGCGTGATCCCCGTGGCAATGGGGGTGAGCGGGAGCCCAGGCGCAGGCTGGCCGGCAACCCCAGGAACCCCCAGGTGTCCTGGGTTGCCGGCCAGCCTGCGGCCTGTGATCCCTGCGGTGATCGGGGAGAGCGGGAGCCCGGGCGCAGGCGAGGTGGCCCCCGGGCACCCCAGCACCTGACATGCAAAGGTCGGGGATGAAATGACTTTTCCCAACCACATCTGCAAATATCCTGGGGAAGGCATCACTGAAGAGTTCACAACTCTTACTTGACAAGGAAGAAAAAAGTTGGCAACGGAAACAATCCCTTACATCAAACTTAAGGTCCATCTGGGTAAAAAAGAATATTTCCAACGTAAAGTAGGGAGCAGGCAAAAATAATATGTTCTCATGACTTCCACTGAAGATTGAGCATATGACAGAGTCAAAATGAACATACAAATTAAAACAGACAGTGGACGTTCAGATGACCCGAATCAACTGTCACTGTTTGTGCCAATAGCAGCAATGCTTATGTGATAATATAGTTTAACAAACATACAAAACAAGTCACATGATAAGAGAGGTTCGGCTTCTAAAGTAAATTGAATATGTTCTTTAAAAATCCTCATGTCCTCCCCTCTGACTATAATTCTTAATTTTCCAATCAGAAAATTACCCCAGGTGATCCAGTAACATGTAGAACTCCAGTAACCTAACATTTAAAAAACAAACATCCAAACCATTTTTAAAATATATAAGTTGATATTTTAGGGTTCAAATTATAGAAGATATTTAGATCCAAATATATTTTCTGAATAGAAAATATTTCAGTTTTTTATTTTAAAAAAATAAACATAAAAAAATATATAAGTGACACATTTTCCCAAGGAACTCTGAATTAGTATCTTTCCCTCTAACTTTCTTCAAATTAAGAGAATCCATGGAGTTCCCTATACTGCACAAGTTTTAATGAAAGAAAATAAGACTTTCTAAGAGCATCAAATACATGTTTTCTTATTTACAAACATATATACTCTTCTCTATCTCTCTCTCTCTTTAAAAGATATTCTTACTGATTCAGAGAGGAAGGGAGAGGGAGAGAGATAGAAATATCAATGATGAGAGAGAACCATTGATTGGCTGCCTCCTACACGCCCCTGTACTGGGTATCAAGCCCACAACCCCAGCATGTGGCCTGACCTGGAATCAAACTGTGACTTCGGGTTCATAGGTCAATGCTAAACCACTGAGTCACACCCGCCCGCCGGGCTCAATTCTTATTTATAAATTCATTCCAAGGACATATACAGCTTGAAAAGCTTTGGAAGCAGTTTCAAAAACAACAACAACAACAACAAAAACTAGCTTATAAGTAACAAGAAAACAGTTATAGAAGAAAGTTTAAATTAAAAGAAAAAAAAATTGTTTTAATTTATTCAAGAGTGGGAACATCCTACATGAAAATGTGTACCTTGACTGTGGATGGCTGGGTGGCCTTATCACACCTTAGGAATTCAAATGCTTTTTACAATAAGAAAAAGAGTCTTATCCCATTTCTCTCCCAGGGTAGATGTCTGTCAACAGAAGGTGGACATCAATAAAAGGAGGGGCTTGCACAATCAATCCAGAAAGTCAGCAATCTATGAATAATCCAGAACTGAGTATTTATCTCCTCTGCCACACACCCTCTCTCCCAGCCAGTGAGCAAGATAATTACTCTCAAGTCAAGCTAAGTGCCCCCCAGTCACAGAGGCCCAATGCTGACATACAAAGCATACAAATAATTCTCACTCTGGCATAAAAGTGACAACTTTCTTGGAAGAAAAGCAGATACTGTAAATTTCTCAAAGTCTTCCTGAAACATTTTTTAAAGTAATTTTTACTTCTTTAGAAAAAATGCATACATGGCAAACCATCTGTAATAAAAGGCCCATTCTATAAAATTTTACCTGGTCTTACTCATATCTGCAATCATAATCAATTTACAGACAAATGTATCTATACTAATAAAAGAGTAATGTGCTAATTAGACTGGGAGACCTTCCAGGTGTTCTTTTGGACAAAGCCATGGTGGTGGGGCTGAGGTAGAGGCGGTTAGAGGTCAAGAGGGGAGGGCAGTTGTGGGTGATCAGGCTGGTGGGGGGTGGGGCCATTGGGGGTAAGCAGACCAGCAGGGGGGCCAGCTGGGGGCAAGCAGGCCATTAGTGGGGGTCAGTTGGAGGTGATCAG